AATTCTTCTGAAAAAAATTCAGTGTGATCTTTATAAAAAAAAGTACCTATAAAATATGTATTTCAAACACAAGTTGTTTTTATTTTATTTTAATAATTGAATTTGTAGAATCAGTATGATTGTGATGAATTAAACATAATTGCCTATCAAAACAATATTTATGTAGAAGTAGTAAGAGTATATCTTTTTTGTTTGTTATTTATATTTATAATATAGTACTTGTTACAAAATTGTAATTTTTGTTTGAATGTATTGTAAAATACATTCAAATAGTTGTATTATAACAATGAATTACAAATTAATAATTTTTGGTTAATAACGATGTCACTAAAAAGAAATCTGAATTTTCACGAGATAGATACAAGAAGTCAACATTGTTTGGGCAGAATAAATTTTCCTCATGATATGAATCTCTTGTATTTTCTATAATAGGGTCAATGCTTTGATTTATGAAGTTGTTCGCTTTCATGACAACACATAAATATAGATTAATTTGACAAATATCTTGTTTTTAATAAAATCATATACTCTTGTCTGAGCAAAGATTTCAACATTATTCAATTCACATAGCTTTAAGAAATAATGACTAATAATATAAATTAAATTGCCCATATAAGAAAATTATTTTTTCTGAATTCGATGGAAACGTATTTAAGTGAATTTTAAATTTGTGAAATAAGTAAAAAAACACTAATTATACAAATAACTCTTTCTAATATGAGATCACCTATTATGTAATAAAAATGTAACTTGCGGCAGTGCAATAATTCTATGTACTACAATACGTGCATTTATCTTGTATAAACAGATTTTAGTACATGCTGTTTATGAGCTTACTATTAAGCTGCTAAAACAGCTATTATATGCAACTAGGTATTACGATGTAAAATACAAAATTAACAGAATATGAGATAAAACACTTTCTATGTTCTAACAAATCCAACATTGTAATTTGCAGATAAGAAAATTATTTAAAATTCAATCAACTTGTCTAATTATTTCTACTGAAATATTAGCAGTAATTGGTATTTTGTAATTACATAATATTTGGAGAGCATTTTCATAAATAACTAAGTAGTTTTAATTAAAACTTAATACTTTGCTATTGAACGATGATTTTATTAGACATCGATTATTAGAAATATATTATGTACACTTTTATGTTCATATATAAAATATCATGGCAAACTTAATCCAACTTGGAGCTAATTTGCTTCAATATTTAAAACTAAATCCAATTCGACAGGAACACTTATGAATTCCAATTTTAGTCTCTAACAAGAATTGCATTTAATAATATTCTGAGTAAAATATTTTTGTATTTTGTTTTTTTTTTTTAATTGAGACTTTACCATATTTGGCTCGATTAATGGCTTGATTAATTTAATTCTAAGATAATAATTTAATAATAAGAGTAACTGTGTATTTTAGATTAGTTATAATATCTATTTTATTTTTGATAAGTTTTGAGCGATGCCCGGCAGAGCCTTTTCTTTATAATTAGCAGAAAAGCGTAAAATATTTCGTTTTTTTTAGCCCATAATCCTGACAGATATTAGTTGGGATTATTATATATTTATTGGGATTAGTTTTTGGTAAATATAGGACGATCCGTTTTGAATTAAAAAATGATATTTTTTTTTGGCGATTTTGATGAATTTTTGTGTGACGATAGATTTTGTAGTCTGAAATAACATACTAAAATATTATAGACTTACGATAATCGATTGAATTATAAAAATTCATCAAATTTTACCACCCGCCCAAGTGATTCTAATCAGAATCTATGCCGAAGTATATGTACGTTCCATGTTTCGTGGGTTGCTACTGCTTGTAGTTGACGTCAATACTTAAATCAAATACATTTTTAGAACTAGTAAAAGAATAAAATGAAATTGATTAAACAAATCGATTTAATTTATACAATTACATATATTATAAGTATATTTGAAATACATCAATTAGAAATCAAAATAAACAGTTGAACATTTTACCTAATTAACTGAATCTCAATTCTGATCAAGCTGATTATGTATGCATGTTTGGAAACTTGTTCATGTAACTTGCTTCAAAGCAAAACGTGACTTTATATAAAT